CACCGCAACCTCCGCCTCCTGGGTTCAAGCAATTCTACTGCCTCAGCCTCCTGAGTAGCTGGGATTACAGGCACATGCCACCATGCCCAGCTAATTTTTTGTATTTTTTTTTTTTTTTTTAGTAGAGACGGGGTTTCACCATGCTGACCAGGATGGTCTCGATCTCTCGATCTCGTGATCCACCCATCTCGGCCTCCCAAAGTGCTGGGATTACAGGCTTGAGCCACCGCGCCCGGCCAATTTTTTTAATAGAGACTGGGTTTCATCATGTTGGCCAGGCTGGTCTCGAACTCCTGACCTCAGGTGATCTGCCTGCCTCGGCCTCCCAAAGTGTTGGGATTACAGGTATGAGCCACCACAAACAGACCTTGCAACAACTTTGCCTTTTATTCCGTATGAGGTTAGAGACAAGGAAGGATTCTGAGCAAAAGAGGAACAAGATACACTTAGGTATTGTATCAGTCTGTTCTGGCATTGCTATAAAGAAATACCTGAGACAGGGTAATTTATAAAGAAAAGAGGTTTAATTGGCTCATGGTTCTGCAGGCTGTATAGGAAGCATGGGGCTGGCATCTGCTCAGCTTCCAGTGAAGCCTCAGGGAGCTTTCAATTATGACAGAAGGTGAAGGGGGAACAGGCACATCGCATGGTGAAAGTGGGAGTGAGAGCTGGGTGCTATGGCTCACGCCTGTAATCTCAGCACTTTGGGAGGCTGAGGTGGGTGGATCACGAGATTGAGAGAGAGAGGTCAGGAGTTCAAGACCAGCCTGGCCAATATGGTGAAAGCCCATCTCTACTAAAAATACAAAAATTAGCCGGGTGTGGTGGTGGGCACCTGTAGTCCCAGCTACTCACAAGGCTCAGGCAGAGAATTGCTTGAACCCGGGAGGTGGAGGTTGCAGTGAGCTGAGATTGAGCCACCGCATTCCAGCCTGGGTGACTGAGTGAGACTCTGTCTCAAAAAAAAAAAAAAAAAAAAAAAAGGCCGGGCGCGGTGGCTCAAGCCTGTAATCCCAGCACTTTGGGAGGCCGAGGCGGGGGGATCACGAGGTCGAGAGATCGAGACCATCCTGGTCAACATGGTGAAACCCCGTCTCTACTAAAAATACAGAAAAATTAGCTGGGCATGGTGGCACGTGCCTGTAATTCCAGCTACTCAGGAGGCTGAGGCAGGAGAATTGCCTGAACCCAGGAGGTGGAGGTTGCGGTGAGCCGAGATCGCGCCATTGCACTCCAGCCTGGGTAACAAGAGTGAAACTCCGTCTCAAAAAAAACAAAAAAAAACAAAAGTAAAAGAAAGTGGGAGAGAGAGAGAAAGAGAGGAGGTGTCATGCACTTTTAAATGACCAGATCTCTAGAGAACTCACAGTCATGAAGTCAGCACCAAGCCATGAGAGATCCAACCTCATGATCAAAACTCCTCCCATCAGGCCCCACCTCCAGCATTGGGGATTGCAATTCAACATGAGATGTGGGCAAAGACAAATAGCCAAACTATATCAGACACTAACAAGATCCCTGTGGCTGCCATGTGAGAACAGATTACCGGGCTTGTGAAGGAATGGGCCCTGGAGGACCAGTGAGGAGGCTGCTGCAGTAATCCCAGCAGGAGATGATGGGGCTTGAACCAGGATGGGGCGGTGAATGCAGGTGAAATGTGGGCTGGAAACCACCTAGTGAGGCAAAAGAAGGAAATCATGGACTGAGAGAAAGGAGGTGCCTCTTGATCTGGAAGGACAAGTGGAGGCTGGTGGTAATGGTGGAAGCCCTTGGGTCCTGTCTGAAGGCTCTCCTGTTTACTGGATGAGGTGGAACACCTGGCTCCTTGGTAGGATTACTTATCAAGATTCCTGAGAAGAGGACTTGCAAGTATCGTGTTAGGAAAATCTGGATATTGGAATCAAGATTCCCAATTTAAAAAATAAATAAAAATATGGTGGCTCCTGCCTGTAATCCCAGCACTTTAGGAGGCCAAGGTGGGCAGATCACAAGGTCAGGAGATCAAGACCATCCTGGCCAACAAGGTGAAACCCCGTCTCTGCAAAAATACAAAAAATTAGCAGGGCATGGTCGTGCACACCTGTAGTTACAGCTGCTCAGGAGGCTGAGGCAGGGGAATCACTTGAACCCGGGAGGCAGAGATTGCAGTAAACTGAGATTGCACCACTGCACTCCAGCCTGGATGACAGAGTGAGACTCTGACAGAGAGGCCAGGCATGGTGGCTCACGCCTATAATCTCAACACTTTGGTAGGCCAAGGTGGGCAGATCATTTGAGCTCAGGAGTTCCAGACCAGCCTGGGCAACATGGCGAAACCCTGTCTCTCTTTAAACACACACAAAGATTCCTGCTTAGTAGATGAGGGTGAGGCATCTTAGATCTTTGAAGGTCCCACTCTCAGTATCCCAATGTCCAACCTCCTCAACCTCCTTATTCCCCCACCCCTCCCCAAATGCTCAGGAATTGAGCTCCTCTGGAGACCCCAGCTCTTAGTCACCCCTTCAGGTGAACCCACAGCAGCTCAGGCTGCCAGTTATCCTGCACAACAGACAGGATACTTCTGCATCTCAGAACAATGGGCAGAGGCAGGTCTGGAGGAAGAGCTGCATCTCTTCCACAACTGGCAGAATGTGGCTCTTCTACAACATCACTGCGCATGGCTGAAGGTTCCCACTCCCACAAGGCAGACCTATGCAGTGACTTCAGTCACGCGGGACCATGACATGGGCAGTCCACAGTACCATCTTTGTGGGTACTCTATCAGGCAGAATTCTCTTTTATTTTCTTCTCTTTTCTTTCCTTTTTAAAACAGGGTCTTGCTCTGTTGCCTAGGCTGGAGTTCAATGGCGTGATCTCAGCTCACTGCAGCCTCAACCTCCTGAGCTCAAGCAATCCTCCCATCTCAGCCTCCCAAGCAGCTGGGACTATAGGCACATGCCGCCATATCCAGATAATTTTTGTATTTTTTGTAATGATGGGGTTTTGTCATGTTGCCCAGGCTGGTCTCAAACTCCTGGGCTCAAGCAATCTGCCCACCTCAGGCTTCCAAAGTGCTGGGATTACAGGTATGAGCCACTATGCCCGGCCCCTGGAGAAAATTTAACACCTTTTTCCATTGGTTCCTGCAAAGGTCCGAGGGTTGCCTCTGGTAGGCTTTGCCCGGCCAATGATTGGGGCCCAGAGGAGTGAGAAATAATCTGATTAGGCAGCCTGGGTCCTGTACATATCACTGGATCCTGGATGTGAAATACCTTCAGTGCACATGCTGAACATATGGGCAGCTGCCAAAAAGGAGATGCAGGTATTATTATTAGAAGGGTGAGTAGCCAGGCACGGTGGCTCACACCTGTAATCTCAACACTAGGAGGCTGAGGTGGGCGGATCACAAGGTTAGGAGTTTAAGACCAGCCTGGCCAACATAGTGAAGCCCCATCTCTACTAAAAATACAAAAAATAAAAAATAAAAAAATTAGCTGGGGTGGTAGTGGGTGCCTGTAGTCTCAGCTCCTTGGGAGGTTGACGCAGGAGAATCACTTGAACCGAGGCAGACGTTTCACCATGTTGACCAGACTGGTCTCGAACTCCCGACCTCAGATAATCCGCCTGATTCAGCCTCCCAAAGTGATGGAATTACAGGCGTGAGCCACCGCGTTCTAGGACATGTATTTTTGATAGAGATACACACACCAGCCAAGCAGGATTCACAGTGGTTTCTGAGCCTCCCTTGACTCCAAGACTCCAAGCCTAATCCCCGCCCCTGACCAGCTTCTCCTCTCTGCAGGGGAACAGACCCCCAGCTGGTTGCCGGCCCTAGTGTGCGGAGCCGCAGTTGCGCACTGTGTGGAAGGGTCCGGGGTTGTCACCAAACGGTTCCCTAAGCTCCGAAGCTGGTGGGGCTCAAAGAGGCCGTGTCCCTGCGGGCCTCCCTGGCGATACGAGGACGCCTCCAGGCGGCCCGCGGGGACAACAACGGAATTGTGGCCGACGACCTGAAGCTCCCGGGAGGACTCCGGGGTGCCGGTCTAGCAGACTGCCTAGGGCATGCCGGACGCAGGGCTTTAAGAGCCGGTGAGGACCCAAACACAGCTCTCCCGTGCCCCGACTCCCACCCACAGAGGGCGAGACCAACCCAGCTCCTAGAGCCACACGCTGCCTCTGGGGGCTTGGCGACCACACCCTCTCTGCCTGTCTTTCCGCAGTATGGAGAGGCCTGTCCAACCCGCCGTCAGCCATTCCCTGCGGGGGCCTTGTCCCTGCACGTGCCCAGGGCTCGGACCCCCGACACAGACCTGCCCCGGATAAGGGAATGCACGAAGTTCCCCGAGATTGTTTGAATCAGTAACTGGCAGCAAAAGCATGCTTGTTCCCGGCGTCTCTCCCAGTGCCCCTCGCCCTTGGGACCCAAAATCTGAACCCATAGCTGGGAGCGGTGGCTCACGCCAGGAATTCCAACACTTTGGGAAGCTGAGAATAGCTTGAGCCCAGGAATTCGAGGCCATCCTGGGCAACACAGCGGGACCCCATCTCTGCAAAAAAAAAAAAAAAAAAAAAAAAAAAAACCCAAAATAATAATAAAAATAAAATAAATAGCGGGCGTGGTTACGCGCACCTGTGGTTCCAGCTACTCGGAAAGCTGAGGTGGGAGGATCGCTTGAGCTCAGGAGTTCGAGGCTGCAGTGAGCCAAGATCTCGCCACTGCACTCCAGCTTGGGGGACAGAGCGAGAACGTCACAAAAAGAAACAAAAAACAAAAACAAACGAACCCTCTCTTCCTCTTCTCCCAGGATGCAGGAGTTAGGTCAGGACCCTCTGTTCCCTCCGATCCAAGACCTAGGAGTACGAACACAGAGCGCCCTCCTCCTACAAGACGCAGGTGCCAGGGTCTCCAGAACTGTTACAAATTCCCTGGGGGGGACGCAGCGACCAGCGGATCCGCCCCCCTCGCACTGGCCGCTGTGACGTAACTGCAATGACAGCGGCAGCGCCGGATGGCGGGAGGCGGAAGTTGGAGGCCAAAGGGAAGCGCGGGGCGGAAGTAGCTGTGGCTTTGCCCTTTGGCCTTCGGGGGCTGTGTGGCTGCTCTTGTTCGCAGGGCGTTCGCTGCGCGTCTCTGCCCAGCCGCGGTTATGAGCCGGCATAGCCGGCTGCAGAAGCAGGTTCTGAGCCTGTACCGCGATCTCCTGCGCGCTGGGCGCGGGAAGCCGGGCGCCGAGGCGCGGGTGCGGGCCGAGTTCCGGCAGCACGCGGGTCTGCCGCGCTCTGACGTGCTGCGCATCGAGTACCTGTACCGCCGCGGGCGGCGCCAGCTGCAGCTGCTGCGCTCGGGCCACGCCACCGCCATGGGAGCATTCGTACGCCCGCGGGCCCGGACCGAGGAACCTGGGGGCGTGGGTTCCCAGCCTGACGACGGCGACGGTCCAAGGAACCCCCAGGACAGCACGGGGGCACCGGAGACCCGGCCGGCCGGACGGTGACAGACGAAGAGCAGAACTTGCTCGTTGGCGCGGTGGAGCCAGGAGGCTCGCCTGACTGCATGGGGGGAGGGTACTAGAGAACCCGCCTAAGGTGAGAGGTCTTGAGACACTAGCTCGACGGATTGGGGATGTCAGAGACTCCCCCTTGGCGACGCAGGGGGCCTAGGGAGCCCCGTGGTGAACGGCAAGAGAGACCCGCCTTTTCCTATGCTTGAAGACAAGTCGTCTCTCTTCCTCCAGGAGGGCTTGGAACGGCCTGGGACGCCGGCGGGCTGGACAGTGTCAAGCGGAGAGCTACTCGCCCCAAAGTATGGGGAGCCAGGACGCCCCCCTGATGGACGGGGAGAGTTTGAGACACCCTTTTCTTGACCCCTGAGAACATATCCACCTCTGGCTCCTCAAGAGACTCCCCTCTTCCGTATTTAAATCTGAGAAGTGCAGACTTCTTGCTGAGAACGTTTTGGGAAGGTGCCCTGATGAGCGGTGAGAAACCCGGAATCCCCATTTGGAAAACTTTCCCCCATTGATTGTAACAAGCCAGGACCATGAGGAAGGGGCTAGGGGTCTCTCACCTTGTCTGATCAACTGAAGACTCATCAAGGCCCCTACTTGATTGTTTTGAGGGGCAGCCTTGATTCCTTTGCCCCTTCCCTCTCAGATGTTGCACAAAGGGAATAAAATTGGGGGTGTGTCTACTTCCCTGTTGGTGGTCTTTTTGCTTTTTTTTTTTTTTTTTTTTTTAAGATGCAGTTTCACTCTTGTTGCCCAGGCTGGAGTGCAATGTTGGGATCTCGGCTCACCGCAACCTCCGCCTCCTGGGTTCAAGCAGTTCTTCTGCTTCAGCCTCCAGAGTAGCTGGAATTACAGGCCTGCGCCACCACTCCCAGCTAATTTTGTGTTTTTAGTAGAGAAGGAGTTTCTCCATGTTGGCCAGGCTGATCTCGAACTCCCGACCTCAGGTGATCCTCCCGTCTTGGCCTCCCAAAGCTGCAATTACAGGCATGAGCCACCATGCCCAGCCTCCTGTTGATGGTCTTAATGCTTTTTTATATCTGGGGATTTTTGAATCCCCCTCCCACCACACACACACACACACCTGGAAGGGAACATCTGGGAGGTGATAGGTGTGGGGATTTGACTCCTTCCAGAACCCTCTAGACTGGCACATTGATTGAAGTGGCATAGTTCTCTACCCTGGGCAGATCTGTGGAGGGGGGCTCATCCTGGCTTACCCCCCTAAGACACCCCAGTTGGCTCCCTAATGGAGGGCAAGCGATTTAACATCTCTGTGCTGAAGAGGAAATGGTGGAGTGAGAACTGGCTCAGAACACCTCAGGCAGTAGTAGGGGTCTCAGACCTGGAAATTTCTTTATTTTTTTTTCTTTTAGCAAAGATTTCAGGAATGAATGGAAGTTTCTTAAACCTGACTGAAGGGTCCAGCCTCAGCTACAACGACAAGGCCATGGGGCAGGGGAGTGGAGAAGAACCCCATAGATCACAGGCATACTTCATCCTGTGTCCCCGTATGGGCCTGCCCTAGACATTCTGTGGAGCGATGCATTTTGCATCCCTGAGCTGGATTTGCACCCATGTCAGTGAAATAAGTGGAAATGAGTTCTTGCGGATGTAGCTGTGGGGAGGATGACCACAGGTAAGGAGCACAGACCTCAGATCAAAGGGAGGATGGAATAAAAAAAAAAAAAGCTAGGTTCAGTGTTGGGCACCTGGAATCCTAGCTAGTCGGGAGGCTGACGCAGGAGGATTGCTTGAACCCAGGAGGCAGAGGTTGCAGTGAGCCAAGATTCCAGGGAAGGGAGGATTACAGGCGTGTGCCACCACACTGGACTAATTTTGTATTTTTAGTAGAGACAGGGTTTCACCCTGTTAGCCAGGCTGGCCTAGGATCTTCTGATCTCGTGATCCATCCACCTTGGCCTTTCAAAGTTCTGGGATTATAGGCATGAGCCACTGTGCCCGGCCTCACATTCTATTTCTATTGGACAGCCCTATTCTAGGAGTCCTGTTTCCTCACTACAATCTGCTCTCATGGCATAATTTTAACATAATGACTCCATTCTACTGACTCGCTGATGCCTTCTTCAACCACACAGTTTCAGTTGTGCTCCCCTTCCCCTTGTTCACTTTATTTTTCTCCTCAGCACTTAACACCCTGCACCAATACATATTTCACTTATTTCTTTTATTGTCCATCTCCCCAAGTAGAATGTCAGCTCCAGAAGGACCTGGATTTTAATCCATCTTGTTCATTGTCCTGTCTGTTCCTTGACCAGGACCTGACTCATAGCAGACTGTCAATATTTGTTAAATGAATGAATGACACAGATGTGCTCCATTAGTGCCTCTCGGGTCAATATTGCCAAATCTGTCCCCACTATTTGCTGGTGATCTCAGAGGGACCAATGCCTCCTCTCTGGTTGATGCCAGAGTCTCGGCCTGGCCTTTGAAACAGGACAAATCCGGTTTGCATCCTGACTTTTCCCTGAATCTGGAGTCTCTCCCAGAATCTGCAGCTTCTCCCACCCCATCAGTGTCTGTTCCCCTCTTCTAGTAGCAACAACTTGATACTCTCTGGAGACCCACTCTTCTGCCATTTTCAGTCCACATGGTTAGGGCGGGGCTGACTGCACCCCCCAGCAAAGGTGGGGCATGTGACTGAAGCCAGAGAAGCAGCCTTGGGACTTTGGTTGGAACGACAAAGGAACAGTGACTCTCCTTTTGGCTGCTAAATTGGTAGTGTATGTGTGTCACAGTGGAGGGAGGCTTAGCATGACTGACTCCATTTTGCGTCTGATGGCCTGCAGTAATATCCTTTAGGTTAAAAGCTTCTGCTTAGCTTTGGGTGTAGACCAGCTATAAATTATAGAAGAAATTTATAGTTCAACTTTAGAAAAAAATAACAGTTCCTTTCCCAAAACTAACCACCCCACCAGGAGATCAGGAAACTACACACAAGTAACAATGTTATAATAAAGATACAAGAATATTTTATGTGACTTGACCTGCATCATCAAAGAAGTTTTCTTCTGGCATGGAGATGTCTACAGTCATTGGTAACTTTTTTTTGAGATGGAGTTTTGCTCTTATCACCCAGGCTAGAGTGCAATGGCACAGTCTTGGCTCACTGCAACCTGTCTCCCAAGTTGAAACAATTCTCCTGCCTTACCTTCCCAAGTAGCTGGGATTACAGGCACATGCCACCATGCCTGGCTAATATTTTTGTATTTTTTAGTAGAGATGGAGTTTCACCATGTTGGTCAGGCTGGTCTCAAACTCCTGGCCTCAGGTGATCCACCTGCCTCGGCCTCCCAAAGTGCTGAGATTACAGGCGTGAGCCACCAAGTCTGGCCCATTGGTCACCTTCTAACCTCAACCCTCTTGCCTTAGCATAAAAAGAAACTTAAAATTTATTCTAACTTGAGATGGTTCTTTAGGACACTAGTCTGCCATCTTGGTTTGCTGTGTCTCCAAATGAAGTTGCTTCCTTTTTTTTTGAGATGGTGTCACCCAGGCTGGAGTGTGGTGGCACAGTCTCAGCTCACTGCAATCTCTGCTTCCTAGGTTCAAGCGATTCTCCTGCCTTAGCCTCCTGAGTAGTTGGGACTACAGGTGCATGCCACCACACCCGGGTTGTTTTTTTTGTTTTGTTTTGTTTTTTTCATATTTTTAGTAGAGACCAGGTTTCACCACGTTGGCCAGGCTTATCTCAAACTCCTGACCTCAGGTGATCCACCCATCTCAGCCTCCCAAAGTGATGGGATTACAGGCGTGAGCCACTGCACCCAGCCTCAGATGAAGTTGCTTTCTTTGCCCCAACACTTTTCTCTACTTACTGCCTGTTGCGCAGTGAATTATATGAGCTTGGACTCAGCTACGTATAGCTAGAGGTTTTGAGGGTCACTCTGGCCATCACTAGGATAAGAATGAAGCCAAAATAGAGGGAAGAAATGAGAGACGAGACAGCAGTTGAGCCCCACCATCTAACTCTGCCTGAAGTCCTTAACTCATATTTTTGTTTTGTTTTGTTGTTTATAGAGACAGAGTCTCACTATGTTGGCTAGGCTGGTCTTGCACTGCTGGGCCCAAGTGATCCTTCCTTGGCTTCTCAAAGTGCTGGGATTACAGGTGTGAGCCACTGCACCCAGCCCTGAAGTCCTGAACTTCTATTCTATATAAATAAATTCCCAGGCTGGGTACGGTGGCTCACGCCTGTAATCCCAACACTTTGGCAGGCCAAGGCGAGCGGATCACCTGAGATCAGGAGTTGGAGACCAGCCTGGCCAACATGGTGAAACTCCGTCTCTACTAAAAATACAAAAATTATCCAGGTGCAGTGGCGTGTGCCTGTAGTTCCAGCTACTCAGGAGACTAAGGCAGGAGAATCTCTTGAACCCAGGAGACCAAGGTTGCAGAGATCTGACCCGAGGTCATGCCACTGCACTCCAGCCTGGGTGACAGAGAGAAACTCAGTCTTAAATTAGTTAATTCCCATTTCTGTTTTAATGTCAGTGAGAGTTGGGCTCTCACTAGTGTGGCCTGGGCCAGTGACTTCCCCTCTTTGAGCCTGTTTCCTATGCTGTAAAGTGGGGCCACATTGCTAGCAGTTTTGAGAATTACAGGAGCGTGGATCTGTGTGAAGATTGCATTCTGGAGCCCCACACAGGGCTCCTGTATCTGTTCTTGAGTCTGATTCTGCCCCTACATCTTGTCCCGATACCTTAAGCTCTGGGGAAACTAGACTATAAGCAATTTAGCCTGGTGTTGTGAAGACAGCGGGAAGAGGGATTTCACAGTCCTGAGTCTGATGGCCCAACCCAGGAGCCCACTACATAGAATATTTGAATGAGCACCTTCTAAAGATGCAAGTCAGGCCACAGCAGATGCCGACAGCAGCTCCCCTGGTATCACCTGCACCTTCCTGTGCCTGCTTCTAGCTTCCTGTGGCAAGCACCTGTGCGGCTTTGCTTGAGGGAGGGGCCTTCACAGGCCAGAGGGCTGGGAATACTGGGGTGTTAAAGTGTCCAGGAAAAGCCTTCAACAATGAGAGATGAGAGCTAGTATAGAAATGTGGATCAGGTGTGGTGGCTCATGCCTGTAATCCCAGCACTTTGGGAGGTCTAGGTGGTTCACCTGAGGTCAGGAGTTTGAGACCAGCCTGGTGAACATGGCGAAACCCCGTCTCTACTAAAAATACAAAAACTAAGCTGGGCATGGTGGCTAATGCCTATAATCCCAGCTACTTGGGAGGCTGAGGCCAGAGAATTGCTTGAAACCAGGAGGTAGAGGTTGCAGTGAGCCGAGATCAAGCTACTGCACTTCAGCCTGAGCAGCAGAACTAGACCCTGTGTCAAAAAAAAACAAAACAAACAAACAAAAACTAGCCTGGTATGGTGGCACACGCCTATAATCACGGGTACTCTGGAGTATGAGGCAGGATAATTGCTTGAATCCTGGAAGCAAAGGTTGCAGTGAGCTGAGATTGCACCACTGCACTCCAACCTGGGCGACAGAGTAGGACTCTGTCAAAAAAAAAAAAAAAAAAAAAGCCACAACTTCTTTGCCCCTAGGGTAGAACCAGTTTGAACTGTGTTCGACAGTTTCCCAGAGCTCCCCAATGGCATGGCACCCCATGTGCCCAGAACAGCAACCAGTAACTCACCCAGTTTTGGCTTTCTCCCCTCCTGAGCTTATATCTTGGCTCCTGTGCCACACCTAAATAAAGAACTGGTATTTGACCCTTTGTGTCAGGGTCTGGAGCAGCCCCACCCAAGATGCGCTGATGCAGTTCTGTGTTCTGTGCTCATCGCAAAAGGGTCTGTCCAGACATATCCAGGCCACATTCTAGATTCTGGGTACACAAGCACCCAGTATCCTCACACTTCCTTTGACAGTGACCATTTATTACACACATCAGACTGGGGGGAGACCATTAACATAGCTGAGCACCAAGTAGGGTATCCGGGGCATTCGGGCATGAAAGCAACAGGGGCCTCCTGACACAGGCAGGAGAAACGTGGCACCCACCAGGAGGAGGAAGAGGACAAAAAGGATAAGGAGGAAGGTCAGAGGCCACCTGGATGCAGGATCGGGAGCCCTGTGAAGGGAAATGCAGTGTTAAACATACAAGTGGGCTGCCGCCAGGAGTCCTGTCCCCCACAACCCAGTCCCATCTTCCAGGCATCTCACCCAGGATTCCCCTCCAGCCTCACATCCTGGAGATGGGGAGATGCTTGCCTCTTCTTGTCCTAAGGAGGGACAGAAGCCAGCAGCAGAATGGATAGAAATGATACATTTTTTTGTTTTTGAAGGTGTCTCACTCTTGCTGCCCAGGCTGAACTCCAATGGCTCGATCTCAGCTCACTGCAACCTCCGCCTCCTGGGATCAATCAGTTCTCCTGCCTCACCCTCCCAAGTAGCTGGGACTACAGGTGCTTGCCACCACACCTGGCTTATATTTTTGTTATTTTTAGTAGAAATGGGGTTTCACCATGTTGGCCAGGCTGGTCATGAACTTCTGACCTCAAGTGATCCACCCACTTCTGCCTCCCAAAGTGCTGAGTTTATAGGTATGAGTCACCATGCCTGGCTGACACATTATTTTTTGAGACTGGGTCTTGCTCTGTCACCCATGCTGGAGTGTGGTTTCACAATCATGACTCATGGCAGCCTCAACCTCCT